GGTCAGATCATCATCGAGCGCGAAGCCTGACTGGTTCATCTCATAAACGATCTTCTTGTAGTTTAGGAGATTCTCTGACACAGTCGATCCGGGCTGGTATCTGTAGCGCAGGAATTTGGCGACGGACAGGTTCTTCTTGGTGCCGTCTGATTGTTGGAATCTGATCCGGATTCTTCTCCAAATCTCCTGGGCTCCAATGTCCTCTGCGTTGTCCAAGAACAACGTCACAGCCAGGTCGGGGTGGATCGAGTTGATCAGGATGTATCGTGCGGCTCGATTTCCGATGGTGAATTCCTGTTTCTGTTTCTTGCCTTCCTTCGTCTTTGCTTTCTCTGGATCCGGAGGGTTGAGGCGTCCTCGGGTGACATCCCAGGCAAACGGTTCGCCGTCGAGGACCGATTGGATGATGGTCTTCCAGGCGATGTAGTTCTTCCCATCAGCAGCCAGGATAATGCTGCTAACCACTCTGGGTCGTGGACCGCATGAGGTTGGTTCGTCTTTGTCGCATACCGGGGTGTTTCCGCCGTCGTCGTCCTCGCCAACTTGGACGTAGCCGTAGAGGGGGTTTTCTCTCGAAGTCGAAGGATTGGACATTGTGGATGGACACTTCACTTCGGTTCACGGTATCACTTATCTTCCTGAGCAACTCGTGCTGAGAGATATATACGGTGAAGAGATATACGTATCTCGTTGATACCTCGGCTAGAATGATCACACGGAATGCTAGAGTCAGTCTTGGGCTCCCCCTTTGCTGGCTGAGGTTTATTGTCCTTATATATAGCGAGTCATAGGAAAGGGTTGAACACAGAAGAGCATCCGAATATGGGTCACGCTGAAAACACTGTGAACGGGTTAAGTGGTGACCGGTCAGTGACCGTTACAGACTGAGGTCTTCAGTATCTAGAGCGGAAGGTGAAACGGACAATATTCATCACTTTTATATAGTCGACGCCTGATTTGTTGGATTCGGATTGGAAATTATTCCCCGTTTATAAACCAAATGTATACTTTCGCCCCTCCACGAGCCATGGAAAATAGATTTTAGGATCGTAGATCCTTCCTTGCAATCCTTTTTCGAGATCATTTGTCCGGACTGGGAGGAGCTACATGTCTAAGGATTGCCCACGCTTCTCTTCAGACAACGAAAAGCAATGCATCGTTGGCATTCAGCCGTGGGGGCGCGAAGCGCCCTCACGGCTTGTATATACATATAGTGGAGGGCGCTGGCATCGCTTCAGTACATATAACGACGGAGTCATCTTGAGAGGGCACAGAGTCGTCGTCCCGAAATCCTGCCGTCAGAGGATACTCAAGAAACTTCACGAGGGCCGTTACGGCTCTGAGAAAATGAAAAGCCTAGCTCGACGATACGTCTGGTGGCACGGCATAGACCAAGATATCGCCTTGTCATGCACGGCGTGCCTGACGCACGCTCGGAACCCTCCGAAAGAAGTGATTCACGATATGGAACCACCGATGACCCCCTTCCAAAGGGTTCGTCCGCTGTCGCAGTCCACGGTTTCGCGAGCTCGGTTGAAGCATAAGCTTATGGCGGAGACGAAATATCCATTGATGTCGCTGAATCGACAGTGGAAGACAACTTTGGCGACTCCCTGACTCGAAAGAAATTCATTGAAATCGGAGGCAAGGAAACGGAGGGCTCGGGTTTCGGTTCCTTTTGCCCACACTTTCATTAGCTCGCGGAAGCGATCCGATCTGCGTGCAATCAACAACGTCTGGCGCAGGTAAGCCAAGAGGTCTCGATACTCGTGTTAAATGTGGAGGAACGACCCTTCTTTTAGGTACTGGAGAACCATTTGAGGCGCATCGCCCTCGACCCGGGGTCTATGGTACGCGGACAAGTCTCGCATAAAATCTAGATATTCCTCGCGTGCCGAATAAATATGTTCCAAGACGTCAGCGGGTTGGGCCAGCTCCCCATTCTGTACATTGACCTCATCTTTCTCTTTGTCGTGAGCCTCTACACCGTTCGTGACCAGTCTCCGCTCATCGCTGAACCAGTCAGCTCGACACTCCTCTCCTTTTACCGTGCGGTTGCTGAAGCAAAATCCCGGGACGTATCGGTATGTCATAACGAAAAGAGGCCTCTGGGACTCGTAAGTTGCGATTTGAGAGAAGGGTATAAATAATTCGTCTTCATTGAGTTGAGCTGTTCCGATGAAGGGGCCGATGTAATCTTTACGGGTCTCACACCTTCTCACGCTTCCGCCCATGAACACGGCGACTGTAAACCTCATGTGTAGAGCGCGTCACTTCATGCTTTTCGCATATTTAGCATGAAAATGCCTATTCCTGGACTTTTCTCATAAGAAAGCATATTCAAGGACTCGGGGCATATCGTAGCATATTATGCTGCCTAAGCGCCCTCTACACCCAAGAACAGAACTTCCTTCGAACCATGGTGTCCCAACAGACATTCTCACAGATCGAAGCTCGAGAAAAATCGAGCGACGTGCACGTTAGAGCGATTCGGAAATCATTCGAATCCGCATGTCTACCGATCGGCGTCGTTCTGCCGCAAGTGGCTCGCGGATTCAGAAACGAGATTATCTCAATCGTCGATCAGAAGTCAGTGTCGATTGGAAATCAGCCCGGAAGTTCCCCCTTTGACGATTCCTCCGCCCCGAGCACGCGGTGAGTTCTACCTAGGAGTCTCCTGGCTCCCTGAATGGATTCCCCAACTCCGAGAATTGAGCTGACAATGGAGAACAGCATGCAGAAGACAATCCCCCTATCTAATCCGTTGTTAACGCACTTCCAGTCGGGGACTATCATTTGTGCAATACCGATCCGTTGAAAATCTGATCGAAGTCACGTTCTCATCGAGGGAAGACTCGGAGCGAAGGTTTGCAGAGCTGTGGTGTTTCGATCTCCGCTCCGATTCAGACGTGTTCACGATGCCGAAGACGCCTCCCTCAAGACAAATGCACTATGTGACTCTTCTCGGCCAGGATGTGCTGTCGTTCGATGGGAACGTACTCCTGTGTAAGGTGTGCGAGAAGGTGGTCTCTTCGGACAAGAAGTCTTTGGTTAAGCAGCACATCGAAGGAGCTAATCACAAGGCGCTTTGCGAGAAGAAGAAAGAGTCTGGGTCTACGAACGTCGTCCAAATGAAGTCGTTCCTCGGAGCCACCGGGAAACAGAGTCAATTTCACGTCGATCTCTGCGATGCACTTTTATCTGCTGACATACCGCTGCGGAAACTGGACAATGAAAAGCTCAGTGCTTTCTTGGGAAAATACTGCAAGCAACACGTCCCTTCATCAATCACGTTACGCTTGCACTATATCAAGAGCATATACGAGGGGAAAATGGAATACATAAGGAGTTTCGTTGGAAGCAAATCTATATGGATCTCCATCGATGAGACAACAGACCCTCTCGGAACATTCGTTGCGCATAGTATCATCGGAACTTTGGAAACTTCCGGGTCCAGGAGTTTCCTACTCCACGCAGACAATCTGGAGAAAACCAATAACTCGACCATCGCCCAAAGCTTCATGAATGCTCTCAATGTACTTTGGCCAAACGGAGTCCATCACGAAAGGGTTCTCCTATTCGTGACGGATGCTGCGCCGTATATGAGGAAGGCTGCGAATGCCCTACAGGTGCTTTTTCCCCGCATGAAGCATGTAACTTGTGCGGCGCATGCACTGCATCGAGTAGCGGAGGAAGCCAGATTGCTGTTCCCCGAAGTTGACAAGCTGGTGTCAAACGGGAAAAAGATATTCTTGAAATCTGCGGCGCGGGTCACCATGTTCCGAGAACTTGCGCCGGGTACGCCCCTTCCACCCCAGCCGGTCATAACCCGGTGGGGGACGTGGGTCGCTGCCGCACTCTACTACGCTGAGCACCTGGATACGTTCGCGAACGTGGTTGATTCTTTCGATCGTAAGCAGGCCGCAAGCATCCTAATTGTTCAGGATTTGTTGCGGTCGCCGAACCTGAGAGAAAACCTTTCTTACATCCATGCGCACTTGGACTTTTTGCCAAGCAGCATCACGAATCTCGAAGCGAGCTCCTGCCCGCTCGTTGATAGCATCGCTCATTTCTACAAAACCATCGATGAGCTCAAGGGGATGCCGGG